ACATGTTCCATTGCATTGTGTTTGTAAGTTAATGCTAGTGATAAAACCACACTCTTCCACTAATTCCACTATTCTTCGAGTCTTGACATGAGACTAATACTTCTTAACAATTTGTTCATGAGAATGTAATGAAGATTTCTAAAAATGTTCTTGCTTTCTGATTTTGAGAGTATCATCTTTCTGATCAAATTATCCTTTACTGACTTAGAATGACTATTTAAGTTAGTTTTACTAAAACACATTCTTATCGATGCCCAGGGACATGAACACTCGTATTCCAAAACACCAGGTAAGAAATACACGTATTGACATGGCAGAGTAGTTTATTTTTGTGCAAGCCTTTGTATGTGTGATAATTGTGAATGATAGATAGAATTGACTTATAAAAATAATGTTTCCAATTTGTAATTTGAATTCATCTTTTACTTTAGCTAGAATGCTCTAACCAAAGTCATTCCCATGAATCCGTATACACTCAGGTCTCAAATTGTCAGACCTCAGTAAATAAATAGAATGACTTTCTGTAAGATTAGTTTTCTGCAGTGTTATTCAATGAGAACCTTAAAGTGAATTTTTAATCTTTGCTAATTGCTAGAAATTGGATATTATAATGTCAAAATTAGTTCTTTTGTTTCAAATCATGGGTATTTGGTTCAAACTCATAGATATCATTATAGTAATAGCAGTTAACATTTGTTGATCTCATCTTGTGCACTAGACATTGTGATAAGTGCTTCATGTGTATCACATCTCTTAATCCTTGCAATAAAATTGGGACAAAAAAACTACTATCAAACATGTTAAGATAAAATCATATAGGTACCAGTTTGAGAATAGTGTTCAAACTGAAGACTTTCTGACACCAAAGCTTCTAGAAATTTTTTCCTCTCCTTTTAAAATTTCAGGTGCAAATCTAGCAATTATCTAGAATATTTTAAGTTTAAACTTTCTTCATGCTTTATTCTTCCTTCAAGTGTATTTAGCTTTTGAAATCTTCTGTTGTATTTCTCACTTATATTAGTTTGCTGAATGGAATTTAATTGGGCCTTGTGATAGCTAGGGAACTTGCCATTCCTTCAGGCACAGTCTCCTGGTGACTGTTGTCTGGGAAGATTTGCCTGAGGATAGCTCTCTGGTTTTAGGAAAGCTTCTCCTTGACTAAAAGAAGGAAAAGACTGCTTCAGATTTCAAAAATATTTGTTAAAAGTTGAACCAGGTAAATTTTATTTTTACATTCATATTAACAATTAAAAAGTCACAAAAAATTAGGGAAACATTTAAGGAAAGAATAAGGCAGCATTTTAATGCCAGTAAAAAATATTTATAATCCATACACATTAGCTGTTGTTACCAACAGTTTTATACTTTAGCTATTACAAAAACAAACAGGTTGTGCATGTATGCATGAGAATAATCTTTACATATTAGATTTGTATAAATACATAATGTATTATATATAAGAATTAGGTGAGAGATCTCTAAGAACAAATGCCATCTGTAATAACAATAAACTATCTTGCAAATACATTAAAGAGAAAAATTATCAGATCTTCAAAAAGAAAAAGGTATGACCTTAATATTTAGATCTTTGCATGAACTAAGTATACACAGAGCACAGCTAATTAATGTAAAATAAAGTAAAAGAAATTAAATAAACTTGAATATATATATATATATATATATATATATATATATATATATATATCTATCTCCATAGTGTTAAACTTACAGTAGACATTTTAAAGGAGAAAAATGTATTGGAGTCTTTTCCCTGAAAAGTTATGTAAATAACTTTTGGCTTGGATCTTTTTTTTTTTTTTTTTTTTTACAATTTCTTCTTTGTCTTCCTGTTGCTACCCCCTCTTCTTTCTTTGTTCCTTTTTTCCCTGTTATTTTTAAACTTAACTTAATCTTGATTTTTTTGTTAACCTTTCAAATAACTGCTGGTAGCACTACCTTTTCTAAGATGACCCATAGCCACATAACAGCCACAGGTATCATGTCCAAGGTGGAATTCCTTGTGGGACATGCACAGTTCCCAGAGAGAGCTACCACTCTTGTTTTCTCTTTCTCAATGAAGGAGGATAGAGGTTATAATTTTATGACTGTAATCTTGAGTTTTATATTGTTAACCAAAAAATAAAAGACCAAAGTGAGAGGCAACAGACTTTTTTTGGTATCAAGAAGAATAGTTATTCGGGAAGGACTGATTCAGGCAGAAATCCAAATAATGTTCCAAATAGGAGACAAGCCAATGGGTATTTATGAGAAAAGAAAGGGAATAATGGTATTGGAGAGAATTTAGTAACAGAAAGTGCAAAAATCTTTTAGTTAGCAGTAGATTGTGTGACTGGTTTTCATTTGCTGACTTGATTACTCTGTTTCTCATAAAACCCACTGCATTAAACTGCACTAAAACAGTAAACATGTGTGTTAGCTAATAATTCCAAAGAAATAACTAAATGCCAAGAGAAGGAAGGCATTTCTATTGGTGCAGATAAGCTAATATAGTGACACTAATTCTAAACAATGTTTTTAATTTTCAGTCCAGTAGTCAAAATATCTGTTTTCTTGTTATACTTGCAAATTGTTCTTTGGGATAGAATGTTGCCTTAGACCCAGTCCAAAGGTTATTTTGCCCTGTTTTAGCATTCCAAAGGTTTGAGGCATGAGATGACAGCTTTGACTGTCCATTTTAAAGTGGATACATATATATGTATTCATATTCCACTTTATATATGTATTCCACTTTATATATAAATATATATATTCCACTTTATATATAAATAAATACATATATTTTTTGTTAAAGTAAGACATTTGTGAACTTTGGTACTGGAGACTGAACATGAATGAAACGTGCAGAAGAATAGTCAGTGCTTGAGAACATCTGCCCTGGGGGGGTGGAAAAATAGTGTTCTTTCTATCTAAGTTCTCCTGTCTGGACTAATAATAAAATTAACATGAGTAGGATTAACAGCAGAAAATGCCCACAATTATTATGTACGTACATATGAAGGTTCCACAGAACATGAGACTGAGGACAGATCAGGCAGTTGGGCTTATATGCCATGTTGTTCAAAGTGTAGGAAGGCAATTCACATGGAGATAGAGAAGCAATTTTATAAATTAATTAACTTATTTTTAGAGAGGGGAAGTGAGGGAGAAAGACAGGGAGAGAAACATCAATGTACAAGAGATGACCATTGGTTGCCTCTTGAACACCCCCAATTGAGGATCCCACCCACAACCCAGGCTTGTGCCCTGACTGGGAATGGAACCAGCGACATTTTGGTTCACAGGCCAGCACTCAGTCCCCTGACCCACACCAGCCAGGGCTTGTAAATAAATGTTTGCTGGCCCATCTTTAGCAATAGGACACGAAGAAGACTTTGATCAAAGGGGCCTTTTCAGATTCCTCCTTGTCTATCACACACTAGTTATATTAAATTATAGTTGCCTGTGGTGATATCCTCCTTCCTGGAGCAAGTAGTCTATCTAAATTCTTTTAGGCAGTTAGGGGGAAGTCAAAGTTTTTCTTCAGTCGTTCATTTCTTAAAAGTAGCCAGCTTAAAATAATTAATATCCCAAAAGCATATTTTAGGGTAGCAAACCCTGCTTCCCTTTGGCACCAAAGCTCGGGTGCCTCAGTGAAAGAAGCAAGAGGGGGTGGTGAGATAAGTAAGATTATCTTCCTACCATATCATACACAGCTAACATTTATTGCACACAGACGCTATTCTGTACAATCGGTAGGCACCGTTTCCTTCAGTCCTCATAACAATAGGGGTAGGTCCCACCATTCTCCGCGACTTTGTAATGAGAAAGCGGTTATTTGCCTGAGGTTATAACCACAAAAGTGATGAAACATTTCATGTTTCAAGGAAACAAAGAGAAAACTGTTATCTAAATGTAAGCATTCAAAAGAAATAACTAACTGCCAATCAAGGAACTCAAAAAATAAAAAATAAAAGTGAAGCACTAATGTGAAGTTAAAACTTTAAAGTTACTGAGTTGATTATTCCTGTTCCTAAAAGAATGCGAAGGCCGGTTTCCAGGCCCTCGTGGCTGCTGGCTCCACCTCCAAATCTGAGAAGCAATGAGAAATGAATCACAATTAAATCCTAGCCATCCTGTATGATGCTTAGGAAGAACCCAAGGAGGAGAGACCTTCAAGTCAGGGCATGGCTTTGGGTAGAAAATATGTAAGAAAGAACTTCTTTACAAAAATGTTGTTTTAAAGATTCTCAATTCAGGTGTAGCATTGTACATATTTTAAGAAATTTTATTCTAATTTAATTTTAAGGAGAGGAACTAAACATTCTTCTGCAAGTGTTATGTACAAAGTCTTATTAAATACTATTCTAGTACTTTATATCTGTTTTATCCCCCTTTGAAGTCCTCTCTCTAAAGTAAACAGATGGGAATGAAAATAAAAACTTGATTCAAAGTACAAGGACAATACTTTAATTGGTGAAAATTTTCTACAGTTAACCCATTTTGTAGGTGAAAACATCTTTTATTGAAGGTACTATATGTTTGACAAAGCAGCTTTAGCAATAAGAAGTATTACTTTTACTTAGTTTAACATAATTCTGAAAAGATATATTAAATTGGAGATACATTTATAAATCATATTTATTATCACAGAGTACAAAGATACCAGGCTTATAACCTTCTTGCTTTTTTTTTCTTAATAGAGAACCATATTTCATTTCTGTTTTTGAAATAATCAAGGTAATGCACATAAGAATTTTAATTACATTGTTTTCCTTTTCCTATAGATCAATTGACCTATGAGTAAGTGTAACTGTTACTATTTTATTTGAAAAAAACCTAAATATATTTTATTTTAAAAGTTTATTTTCATCTGAAAAGAACTACAGTAGGTTGGTTTCCATAATGGATACCATCAAGTGTAAGAAATTTGTCTTTCTGCTGGTTTTTAATTTGACTCTGACTGAAACTGTTCAAAGCGGAAATGTGCTAATTTGGCCAACGGATGGTAGCCATTGGTTAAATATTAAGATCATTCTAGAAGAGCTGACTCAAAGAAGTCACAATGTGACTGTACTGACTTCATCAACAACTCTATTCATCAACTCCAATCCTGATTCTCCTGTGAATTTTGAGGTGATACCTGTTTCCTTCACGAAGAGCAATATAGAGTCCTTAATTGAACATATGGTAATGCTATGGCTAGACCATAGACCAACTCTTCTCACAATCTGGACTTTCTACAGAGAACTAGGAAAACTTCTAGATACTTTTTTTCAAATTAATATACAGATCTGTGATGGAGTACTAAACAACCCCAACTTAATGTCAAGACTTCAGAAAGGTGCTTTTGATGTGCTGGTAGCCGACCCAGTAACAATCTGTGGGGAACTGGTTGCTCTGAAATTAGGAATTCCATTTATGTACACTTTGAAGTTCTCTCCAGCCTCAACAGTAGAGAGACACTGTGGGAAAATCCCCTCACCTGCCTCCTATGTACCTGCAAGCTTGTCAGAGCTCACTGACCAGATGACCTTTGACGAAAGGGTCAAAAATACCCTATCTTATCCTCTGCAAGACTATATATTTCAATCCTACTGGGGACAATGGAATTTATACTACAGCAAAGTTCTAGGTAAGTTGCTAAAATGCCCTGTTATTAATACTCTAGATAACTTATTTATTTTTAATGTCAACAAAGCAAAAGCTTTCCTTCCCACCGCATGTGCCAAACTGAAGTAAAATATACTTATTATATCTTCACACAAGTCTTTGATCGTTATCTTTGGATAAATTTCTTAAAAATGAAATGCTAGTATGAATATGTATGCTATTAAGGCAAATAATCTCATGCCTATTTAAGATATAGCTTTTCAATGCATAAGTGAACCTTCAAATATAAATAGAAGTACATTTACTAAGATATATTATGGCACTACCAAAAAACACTTGGGCAAACCTTTTGAAATGATACATGATTTACTTTCCCTCCTTGGTTTTTCATTCTTTTCTTTATGGAAAACTTAAAAACCTAGGATTGAATATGGAAAACTTGAGTTTTTGCTCTCTTCAGCTTCTCATTATCTCTCCATCCTTAGACTCCTCTGAGTATTTGGGCTAGTACTGTCTTCAACAGAACTTTTCAGTACCCTTTGGCAAGCTTCAAGTTTCCTTACCTCACAGATTCCTTATGAGGATTAAGTAAAATAATGCAAACTGTCAAGGCCAGTTCTGATGGGCCGTTTCCTCCTCTTTCTGTTCTCTATGAGACTTCTTTCCTTTATTTTTCTATTTTCTTTTTCCCTGCATGTTTTTTCCCCCTCTAGATCTATAAGTAATGTCAGCTGTATGAATTAATAGTTGATACTGTCCCTGGTACTTTCTTATGCAAACTATTGTTCTTTTAAACAACTTTTGGCCTTCCACTCCCTCCATTTCTTTTCCTTTCTCTCTCCCTCCCTTTCTTTACCTTTTCTCCTTTTTCTTTCCTGCTTTCCTTCCCTCCTTTTTTCCTTCCTCCCCTCCTTCCTTCTTTCCATCTTGCTTTCTTTGTGTAAAAAAGTATTTATCAAACCACAACCCAGTATCTACAACATTTCTATGTACTGGGAATACAACAGTTGGCAAAATAGGTCAAAACCTCTATTCTACCCTCATAGAGCTTACATTCTAGTAAGGTGATAAATAAAATATGCAGTATAGTAGAATAAGAAAAATTGACTGTTCTGGGACTAGAATTATACTTTTAAATAGGATGGTCAGAAAAGTCTCAAGTTAAAGGATATTCAAACGAAGACACTCGGGCAGTGAGGGTGAGAGCCAGTAGACTCCCTGGAAGAAAAGCCCTTCAGACACAGATACGAACAAGCATAAAGACCTGTGGTAAGCCATAGGTACAGGAATATTTTTACTGTAACTTGACATTAATCTTATCTTTCACAAGTAGAATTTGTATACATATATTTTTTCTTTCTTTGATGTTGAAATATTCTTCATTCTATTTTCCATCACTTAAACTTTTAAACTTCTTAATAGAATTGGTCTAGAGGGGGAATATTGAACATATCACACATTTATTTGTATGTTGTATACAAATAAAACATATGCAAGTTAATTAAAATTTGCATATAATTGTGAAGATACAGTAATTAGAAATTTGAAAGTAAAATTCTGTTTTGATATTCTTTATAAGGCAACAACTATGTTTTCTTTACTTCTGAATTCCAAATTTCATATGCCTCAAAAACATATATTTTCTGTAAATTTAGATGTTAGTTACATTGTTATTTTCTAAGACATCCAAAATAATAGTTTACATGCCTCAAATAAGGGAATTTCAAAAAGTAAGATTGTGAAGGGTCTTGAAAAGGACATGAGATTTTGGGTTCAGATTCTACCTGCTAACTGTTTTCTCAGGTAAAGGCATGAAAAATTAAGTAAAGTGTGAAAGAGCATGTTCCCAACTTCTCCCTTTTCAAAGGATGATCTATTTCAGAAATCTCACATGTTGAGAGATTAAGTATATTATTTACTTAAATCTTTCATGCTCCTCATGTTTCTAAACCTAGCTGAACAACAAATAGCTATGTTAAATATTTTATTTCAAAGTAAATAAAGAACTTTGAAAGACCTGGTATAATCCAATATTATCCAATGTCTTTTGTTTTCAATTGCATTTTTTAAAGTATTTAGAACACCTGCTATCTGTAAACTGATATCGAAAGAGGATAGGTACCTTATATTTGATATTATCTTTGAACACAGGAGATATAATAGCATAAAATTTTAGTGGAGTTTTTATTTCAATGGCTGTTCTTCAGTTCTGTGGGAAAAAGACCAGAAAAATAGCATGATTAACAGTGGTAAAAACAAAAAAACAAAACAAAACAAAAAAACCCCAAATAATTGTATTTAAGGAAAGATAAGGAAATAACATGAAAATATCTAACTCTATTGGTTAAAAATCCTGTTTTATTTGTCAGGGAGGAGATCCTGAACCTTATAGATGAAGCAAATAAAAATGATCATCAACTTAATTTTAAAAACGCTTTTTAACATCTAATAAAACAGGCATATTTGAGAATATGACAATCATTGTTATTCATTTCCAGGAGTAAATCTAAAAACAAATCGCATCCAGACCCAGTGTTCTGCAGAGCACCTTCAAGTTACACTGAGCCTGATCTCTCCCCAACCCTTGAACTGAGAGATACGCTGTACAACATGTAAATAATGTGGGCAGGATTTAGGACTAGACTTTGCTGCAGTTGTAGGGAGGCAAGGGTTTGAATGCTGCAGTGAAAATAGCTGAACAGTAAGGCAACTTTTATGACCCCATTTTGTCCTTGCCTTGGTTTCCTAGCCTTTCTCTATCTTTCCCCGTGCACTGCAGATCAGGAGCAGAAAGCTCTGTACTAAGCACCACTTGGCCAGTGTCGTCTACTTTTACCTGTTGGTACCGTGTTGGTTCTATGTTGCTCTCTCCGCCTATGTTTGATAGATTTCCTAGAATTAATGCTACCCTTTTTCCAGCCTGTGGAAAAGAAAAAGCCTCTAAATACTTTCCCCCTAACTCAGTTGCCTAGAACTGGACTAGATTACTCAACATTATTTACATTTGATCTCTGGCTCTCTGTTGGAGCCCAGTATTTTATTTGTTAGTTTTTCTGTGTCCCATTCCCATTCTCAGCCCCATTCCCAACCTCCTATCCTTTTCTGGAAAACTTGAATCTCTCTGTTTACCTGTCATGAGTTTTCTAATTCTTTGTCACATGTAGCTTTCCTGTGGTCAGTGCTGAGGTGTTCTTAAATTTTCTGTAAACTTTCTTTTGAAGTAAAACATAAATCAAACATTTACAGTTCATTGAAGATTTCACAATGTGAACCCCCCCATGCAACCAGCACCCAAATTCAGGAACTTCATTCCTCATACCAGCCCGTATGACTCCCATCTTAGGGTGAACACTTTCTTGATTTCTTACACCATAAATTAATTTTGTCTGATTATAAACTTTATATAAATGACTGACACATTATATACTCTTTTTTATTTTGTTACTTTTACTTATCATTGTGTTTATTATATTTGTCCAAGTTGCTAAATGTAGGTGCAGTTTTTTTCACTCTCATAGTTCTATAGAGTTTAGTGAATTAATAAACCACATTTTACTTATCGAATCTACTGTTGATGGACATTTAGACTATTTTGGTGTTAGCTATTTATGATAAACACTGCTATAAACATTCTTGTACATGTCTTTTGGTAAATATACATGAGCCATACTGTTGGGTATGTTCATAAGAGTGAAATTGCTAGGTCATAACATATGCCTATCTAGCTTTAGTAGGTACTGCTAAAATCTAGTCTCCTGAGTGCTTGTACAAATCGATAAACCCACCAGTCATTCACTAGAAATCCAGTTGTTCTCTAGTCTTACCAACACTTGGAAATTTTTAAAATTGTAACCATGATGTTGATAGTGTTATCCCATTTTTTATTATTAAAGGTTAAATGACCTATGGTTAAAGAAAGTGCATAAAATATACAATGTGATTTGTTTTGTCAAACGTAAATACCTCTATAACTAACACATCTCTCAATCTGTTGGATCCCTCTCTAAAAAAACTACTCTCCATAATTTTTCAGATACTTATTAGACAGAATAACTCCTGAAAACTAATAACTTAGCTTTCATTCTCTTTCACTTTTGTTCTTGTTGGCTTTTTAATTCATCCTCTAATTACTTTAATTGTGATAGTGATATGATTATGTTGTCATTCATGTTCAGTTTGGGATCAATCAAGAATCTCTGGTTTGGTTTTCTATTCCATGATTCTGCAGCTAATTAATGCCTATGCTAGGCATTAATTAGTTGTACCATCTTTATTGTTAATAAACAGTCACTCTAACTAAACACCTACTTGGTATCAAGCACTTTGATAGATATATTGCAGATACTGTTGCTAATCCACACTCAAAACATCCAAGAAAAATCATCATCTACCTTTTAGACACAATGCATTAGAAACTCAGAAAGGTTAAATAATAGCTGAGCTCACAAAATATGTAATTGAACAAGATAAGAACCTAAAAATATTTAATTTACTACATAACAAAACTTATGGTTCCCAGGAATGAGCCACTGCATAACTTCCAGGATTTTAACTTTAGAAGCCAGAGACAAGGAAGAGAAAGAAACATGGCTACACAACTCCCTCCCAGACTTTGGTGATCTGGTGCGTCCTATGAGCATTCTCTCATCCCACTTTCCTGAGGACACTGCTATGACATCCCTTTAACTTGACACAGTTTGTTTTGCAAGTTAAAAATCTTTTGGGTATTTGTGTACAAACTGTCTGCGTTCTCATAGAAGAATGTATGGTCCTGAATTTGCAGAGCTTTGCTCTGCCCTTCACAAGGCTGGATCCTCAGGGGAAAGCACGAAATACCCAGGTGATCTTGGCCTCTCCTGCTTGTTTGCATTGCCATAGAAATTTAGAAATACAGAAGGTCCTTAAATAACGTTGTTTCACTCAGTGTTGTTTTGCCTGAAAGTTGATGAGAAAAAAATTATACATTCCCAGCAGGGGTCACTGTCTGCACATTCTCCCCTTGACTGCCTGGGTTTTCTCCAG